CTCTCTCTCTCTCTCTCTCTCTCTCTCTCTCTCTCTCTCTCTATATATATAAAATGAACATTTAAAATGTAAACAATTATATTTCAGAGATTAATTTCCAGGTAAAAATATATTTTTTAAATAATAAATAATTTTTTTAAGATTATTTAAAAATGAAAAAATGTAATTTGAGAAATTCAAATCATGAATACATTAAATTGTTTTAAAAATCGACAATAAATATGTCATTTTAAAAATGTACATTTTGTTCTTAAAATAAATAAACTGTTTAATATACTTTTTCAAACCAAGAGAAATTTCAATGAAAAAAAGAATTAAAGATGTGCAAAATATTGGAATAGCCTACTCTATAAAATAGAAACTGCAGAGGCTAGATAAAAATTACATAAACATAAAAAAACACACACAAAAAAACCCCAATAACCATGAGGTAAAAAAGTGGTAAATAAGAATATGAAAAATAAAAGAAAAATATGTTAAAATACTTTCAATTGCCAAAAATCGATCTTTTATCAAATAAAAACCTACATTAAAGTCACACCATATGCGAGTTACAATATTTCATTATTTACATTTATTTTGAAAAATCACAACTTGGATAATGACTGCTTTAATTTGAAAATAAATGATCACGTAAATGCACACACGCACATAGACTCATGCACACACCTGATCAATGCTAATGGAGTCTACCCTGCCCGGTAACAAGAGCGGGCCTGTGTGTGTGTGTGTGTGTGTGTGTGTGTGTGTGTGTGTGTGTGTGTGTGTGTGTGTCTCATGACAAGCATGCTAATGGCAGACTTACATGCGTGTTAGAACACATAGCATTTACGGGACACACTAATGGCTAACTAACAGGCTCGTGACACGTAAAGGGCATGTTCGACGAGACACAGCAGATGTCACTAAACCGTCCAAAATAATCCATGCAGTCAATCGCAACAAAGGGATGTGCTCTTTAATGGACTTTTACTGTGAAAGGAGCGACCGGAAATTGGAAATCATCTGCACCTGGGGCAAACTATGGCCAGTGTACAGGCCATGTTTCGAAGGACACAAACAGAAAGGGGAAACCCCCCCCGTAAGTTTACAGTTTTAAATTAAATTATTTATGTAAGGAATTTTTTGAAGGGAGGGAAATGGGTGGAAGGAAGAAGAAGGATGCCTGGATGGATGGTAGGAAGGAGGCAAGCATGGATGAATAAAGGAAGGGAGGAAGGATAAATTAAAGAATGAAGGAAGAAAGGGAAGGAAAGATAGATGATGGAAGGAAGGAAATAAGGACATATGCAAGGAAAGGAAAGTTGTGAAGAAAGAAGGAAGGATGAAGGTGAGGAAGGAAGGAAAGAAGGGTGGGCAGAGGGGAAAAGGTGCAAAGGAAGGAAGGGAAGGAGGCTGGAAAGTAGGAGAAAAGAAATAAAAGGAAGAGAAGAAGGATACACGGAAAAAAGAAAAAGGGGAGATAAGAATGGAAGGAAGGCACAAGGTTGATGGAAAGTAGGAGAAAAGAAATAAAAGGAAGAGAAGGATACGCAGAAAAAAGGGGAAGGAAGAATGGAAGGAAGGGACAAGGTAGGTAGGGTTGAGAAGGGATGATGGAAGGTGTGCACGATGGGGAGAAAGGGAAAAAGAAGGAAAGTCGGAAAGATGAAGGCAAGGAAGGTAGAAAGGGCGTGTAGGGAGGAAGTCGAAAGAAAGTAAAGGAGCAAGGCTGGAAGGTAGGATGAAGGAGGAAGGAGAAATGGAAGGAAGGAAAGGAACGGGGAGGAGAAAACCAAAAGGAGAGAGTATCAGGAATGTGTAAAAAAAGAAGAGTCGGAAGAATCAACAAATCAAACGTAGGAAAGCCAGGAAGGTAGCAAAGAAAGAGGGATGAATGGAAGGAAGGCGATTTGAAAGAAAGCAAGCGTGGGAGGTCGGGTGAAGGGAAGTATAAAAGGAAGGATGGAAGGCGGGAAGCATACGGGCAGGAGGGTGGGAGGAAATAAACCAGCAATGAAGGACGGAAATAAAGAAGAAGCTACGTGATGAAGTTTGGTCTACTTTGGACGATGACTCTCCTTGTTCCCTGGGGGAGGTCACGGACGCTTCGGCGCGAGGACATAAAACACACTGAAGGCCCATCCAGAGTTTCCTTCAACTTGAGCACTCGCGCTCTTCTTTAATGGCTCTTTTGCCCTCTTCCTCCCAAATCCAGTCCATCTTTCTTCCCCCGTCCTCTGCTCTTCTCTTCTTCATCCCTCCATCTTGACCATGTGCAGCGGGGTTATTGATGACCCGCTGTTCTCTGCGACAGACAAGAAACGGAAACCTCTGCAAACTGCTTCTCCAGCCCTCAGGCAGGTGGCCAGCTGGGTGTGAGTGTGTGTGTCTGTGTGTATTTTATGATTCAATTTTGCCCTTTGTGAGCGAATATAGGATTTAATTGTAAAGGTATTGCAAAAAGTAGCCGATTAGACTAAATACGTATCATTTTATGGGCAAAATATAGCCTTTTAAAGCGAAACGTATGGCAAAAATTGAATACCAACATAAAGCTTTGGAGCGCCTTGTTATCCGCTATGAGTAGATGCAAGTCATCCGGAGAAGGTGGAAGAGCATGGGGGGGAAAAAAAAGACAGACATGACAGCCTGCGTATGTACTCAGACATTATGTTGGTGCGGCGGCTTTAGAGTGCCTCGTTGTTGGCTGTAAGTGACGACCCTGGCAGGTTATACCATCCGGCTACCGGCGGCTTTAGGTGAGGAAAGATTCACATTTAGAATGTAGCAGCCGTTTGTCCCGGTTGTACGATCAATGCTGCACATTTGAAAGAAACAAGTTGAAAAAAATGTTTTTATCTGTGAAAGGTTATTCTCAGCACAAAAGGCCGGCCCCCTTTTTCATTCGAGCTAATTTTCATTGCATTTTGACTTTTGTTTTTTAAATTAGGTTCGTTTAAATTTGTTTTCAGAAGGGGTTTGCTAGTTTTTGTTAACTTTTTTTTTTTAATGTTTCCTTTTAGTTTAGTTTTTAATCGCTTTAGTATTAGTTTTAGTGTGTATATACAGTATATAATGTGTATAGGAGTATTTGATGTGTCCAAGATTTAAAAAAAAAAATCATAAGTGTTGTGTAATAAAAGCAAGGAAGGTAGAAAGGGCGTGTAGGGAGGAAGTCAAAAGAAAGTAAAGGAGCAAGGCTGTAAGGTAGGATGAAGGAGGAAGGAGAAATGGAAAGAAGGAAAGGAACGAGGAGGAGAAAACCAAAAGGATAGAATATCAGGAATGTGTAAAAAAAAGAGTAGGAAGAATCAACAAATCAAATCTAGGAAAGCCAGGAAGGTAGCAAAGAAAGAGGGATGAATGGAAGAAAACAAAACAAAAAACATTCTCATAGCGTGATGGAGCCTTTTCTTAAGATTGAATGTTTTATTGACAAAATGTAGCACTCAGCTTTTTTTTTTTTTTTGTGCCAAAATACAACTTTTTGTGTGAACCATTGTCATTTTCTGCGCAAATGTTGCACTTTTGTAGTCCAACATAGCATGTGAAGATTTATGGATGGAGGAGCTGATGACATTCGAGGAGGAGGAAGTGGGTCAGGGAGGAGGAGAAGGTGTCTCCAGCGAAGATTTATGTGCGACGCCTCTTCTTCCTCTTCTTCTTCTACTTCCAGCTCTTCCTCCCAAATCCAGTCCATCTTTCTTCCCCCGTCCTCTGCTCTTCTCTTCTTCATCCCTCCATCTTGACCATGTGCAGCGGGGTTATTGATGACCCGCTGTTCTCTGCGACAGACAAGAAACGGAAACCTCTGCAAACTGCTTCTCCAGCCCTCAGGCAGGTGGCCAGCTGGGTGTGAGTGTGTGTGTCTGTGTGTATTTTATGATTCAATTTTGCCCTTTGTGAGCGAATATAGGATTTAATTGTAAAGGTATTGCAAAAAGTAGCCGATTAGACTAAATACGTATCATTTTATGGGCAAAATATAGCCTTTTAAAGCGAAACGTATGGCAAAAATTGAATACCAACATAAAGCTTTGGAGCGCCTTGTTATCCGCTATGAGTAGATGCAAGTCATCCGGAGAAGGTGGAAGAGCATGGGGGGGAAAAAAAAGACAGACATGACAGCCTGCGTATGTTCTCAGACATTATGTTGGTGCGGCGGCTTTAGAGTGCCTCGTTGTTGGCTGTAAGTGACGACCCTGGCAGGTTA